TTAATAACTGAGCCATCCAGGTGCCCCAAGATCATTTACTTGTTAAAAAAAACTAGAAATACTTAAAATCTGCTTAACAAACATGCTCTCTTACCAAATGATCATTTTCAATCAAAATCGTATTGGCCAAAAAGCATTACATACACATACCCTAAAGGGGTGAGGAAAGGACAACAAGCAAGACAGAAAATCGGAAGTAGAGAAGCTGACTCAAAAAATGACTCACAAGCATTTCCTGGGTATTTTGTCCAAGAAAACGCCTCTGATTAAAGTGGAAACTTGTTTGGCTACAACCCATCAGTCTACTATAATGATTAATGCCGTGGTGCCAAATATTTGAACATGTGGCATATGGACAAGAAAAACCTCCTACGTGTTGATTTCAATACTGGGGCATTTTAACCTATAATTGTTTAACTAATACAGAATAGGAATTGTCAAGTTCTATCTAATTCCTTCTAACTTTTTTTTTTTTTTTTAAAGATTTTATTTATTTATTTGACAGACAGAGATCACAAGTAGGCAAGAGAGGCAGGCAGGGAGAGAGAGGAGGAAGCAGGCTCTCCGCGGAGCCGAGAGCCCGATATGGGGCTCGATCCCAGGACTCTGGGATCATGACCTGAGCCGAAGGCAGAGGCTTTAACCCACTGAGCCACCCCGGTGCCCCTCCTTCTAACTTTTCAAACTCCAGCCATTGAAGTATAGCAACTGAACCAATTTCAAAAGCCCAGCAACAATTTTAACTGGCAAGTTACATACCGCAACAGGTGAAGATAAAAGCTAGTCTTTTGAAGGAATAAAGGGAATAAGTTTTGCAGATGTTGACATAAAATCAAGTCAATATTATTAACAAAGTAGAAAGTTGATTTATGACACTTTAGGAGTCTCAAAGAAATCCTCTAGGTCCTATGAAAACTCAGATCAAAGATACGAGATAAAAAATTTCCATGTGGAAACATCTAAATTACAGATCCTTTACTCCTACTGGCAAACAATGTAACACAACAAAGCAACCTGAAGACAAAATATAATTAGGGAAGTCAACAGGATGATAAATTAAAAACCAGAATGTACACACCAATTCATTACATGTATTTTTCTCTCAAATTTAACCAATATGTTGAACATCTACATGTGAAACTTAATATTATTTAATTTTTTTTAAAGTAGGCTCCATACCTAACATGGGACTCGAACTCACAACCCTAAGATCAAGAGTTAGATGCTTTACCAACTAAGCCACCCAGATGCACCAATTTCATATATACTTACATAATACACAAATAACTCCCTTACCCCCACCAAAAACAAAAAGTTAGATAGGAGAAGGAACAAATCTAATAATTTTTTTTCTTTTTTACTTAATATTACTGCCACTGCATTAGTCCCTCAGAACTTCTCTGAAAAACTAAGACCCTCCACCCTCCACTGACATCCGTAAGCCCTAAGCCTGCATCTCTTGTTATTCTCTCAATTCCAACCCATTTTGTCTTTTTTTTTTAAGATTTTATTTATTTATTTGACAGAGAGATATCACAAGTAGACAGAGAGGCCGGCAGAGAGAGAGAGGGAAGCAGGCTCCCTGCTGAGCAGGGAGCCCGATGCAGGACTCGATCCCAGGACCCTGGGATCATGACCTGAGCCGAAGGCAGAGGCTTAACCCACTGAGCCACCCAGGCGCTCCCCCCACCTTTTTTTTTTTTTTTAAGATTTTATTTATTTATTTGACAGAAAGAGATCACAAGTAGACAGAGAAGCAGGAAGAGAGAGAGAGGGCCATTTTGTCTTTTAAAGCAGTTTTGTTTTCCTAACATTTTCAACATATAATTCTCCTACTTAATAAATAACCTGCAACAGGGGCGCCTGGGTGGCTCAGTGGGTTAAAGCCTCTGCCTTCAGCTCAGGTCATGATCCCAGAGTCCTGGGATCGAGCCCCGCATCTGGCTCTCTGCTCAGCAGGGAGCCTGCTTCCTCCTCTCTCTCTGCCTGCTTCTCTGCCTACCTGTGATCTCCATCTGTCAAATAAATAAATAAAAATCTTTAAAAATAAATAAATAAATAAATAAATAAATAAATAAATAAATAACCTTCAACAATTCTTTACTATATACTGCTAAAATTAGGGGTGATTCTTTTGGGCAGGGCAAGGAGGAAAGGCAGTAGTAAGGAATTCAGTTCAGAAATATCTGCCTTAGGGTTGCCTGGGTGGCTCAGTCAGTTAAGCATCTGATTCTTGGTGCCAGCTCAGGTCATGAGATCAAGCCCCACATCATGTTCCATGCTTAGCACAGAGTCTGCTTGAGATTATTTTTCTCTTCCTCTCCCTACCGCTCTGTTCCTCCTTTCACTTGTGCTCTTTAGTAAATAAAATCTTAAAAAAAAAAAAAAGAAGTATCAAAAAAAGAGAAATATCTGCCTTAGACATTCTATCAATTAAGAGATTTACTTAGATTAATAAATACCTTTTTTTTTTTTTTAAAGTAGGTTCCACATGGAGCCCAACGTGGGGCTGGAATTCATGACTCTGAGATTGAGACCTGAGCTGATATCAAGAGTCAGATGTTTAAGTGACTGAGCTACCCACGTACCCCAATAAATGCCTTTTTAAAATGTAAACATCAGGGGTGCCTGGGTGGCTCAGTGGGTTAAAGCCTCTGCCTTTGGCTCAGGTCATGATCCCAGGGTCCTGGGATGGAGCCCCCCATCCGGCTCTCTGCTCAGCAGGGAGCCTGCTTTACACCCGCCGCCCCCCCAAGCCTCCCCACTGCCTGCCTCTCTGCCTACTTGTGATCTCTACCTGTCAAATAAATAAAATCTTAAAAAAATAAAATAAATAAGATAAAATAAAATAAAATGTAAACATCAAACAGAAGGGTCAGGGGCACCTGGGTGGCTCAGTCGGTTATGTGTCTGCCTTTGGCGCAGATCATGATCCTGGGGTCCTGGGATGGAGCCCCATGTCAGGCTCCCTGCTCTGCAGGGAGTCCATTTCTCCCTCTCCTTCTGCCCCTCCCCTCCTTGCTTGTGTGCTCCTGCTCTTCCTCTTTCTCTCTCAAATAAATGAATAAAATCTCAAGAAAAAACCCCAAAAGGGTCAGGATTATCCTTCAAATTTACACAGTGAACTCTCCAATTTTGAGAAACAAGAAAAAATGAATTTGAGAGCACAGCATGAAGATAGGTCCCTGTCAGTGGATGATGGCTCGCAGAAAGACAGCTGAGAGAGAAAGGAATCTAAGAAAACGACCAGCCTAGAGACTCGCAGGAAAGAAGGGTAGGGCATTGAAAATCTCTATCTGGCCATACATAGCCCTTTATAATATCCAGTTCTCCTTCCTGTCCCCTACTATCATACTCATTTCATTTTACTTTTATAAACCTTTCGTTCACTCTATTGGGTATTATGTGTCAATCATCAAGCTAATATCAGGGGTACAAAGTATTCCTTTTCATGAAGATGTTATACTGGGAGAAGAGGAAAGCAACAAGTATTCATAAAACACTAAAAATACTATTAAAGGAGTGTACACCAGATACTACAGAGTAACAGAAGAATGAACTACCTCTGACTATAGAGTTAACAAGGTAATGTCTAAGGGGCACCTGGGTGGCTCAGCCAGTTAAGTGTTTGCCTTCGGCACAAGTCATGGTCCCAGGTCCTGAGACTGAGCCCCCCATTGGGCTTCTTGAAGAGTGGGGAGCCTGCTGCTCCCTCTCCCTCTGCCACGCCCCCCCCTGCTTGGGCTCTCTTGCTCACTTGCTCTCTCTCAAATAAATAAAGTCTTTAAAAAAAGAAAAGGTATGTCTTGAAAAATAATGGAAGTCTGCCAGATAGACAAGGGCATAGAAGGTATTCCAGGTAAGAGCTGCAGCATATAGAAAAAGATATAGATCAGAGCCACACTAAGAAGGGAATGCCATACTAAAATCTGGGGTGTCATTTTGTAGTCCAGAGGGAGTGAAATTTTATAGTAGGAGGGTGACCTCAGAAAGAATTCTGCACTCCACATTAATTATAACATTCATATGACGGGTTTTTTTAAACATGTTATCACAAAGTGTCTTAGTGCTCATTCACTGCGTATTTCTTATGGGTCTTAACTAATTTACGAATTTCATTCTTTTTTTTTTTTAAGATTTTATTTATTTGATAGACAGAGATCACAAGTAGGCAGAGCAGCAAGCAGGCAGAGGGAGAGGGGGAAGCAAGCTCCCCACTTAGCAGAGAGCCCAATGCAGATCTTGATCCCAGGACCCTGAGATCTGACCTGAGCTAAAGGCAGAGGTTTAACCCACTGAGCCCCGCAGGTGCCCTTAAATTATGAATTTCTTAAAGGCAAGAACCACCTCTATCTTAAATGAAGACTCTTAACACAAATTCCTTTTATATTCCCTTACTACCCAAACCACAACCATATGTATATATACATACATACATACATACATACATACATACATTATTTGGGGAAGGTGAGAGAAGCAGCTTATTGAAAGCAGACTGATAAATCTTTGTACATCATATATACTTATTCCTATATAAGCATAAGGAAAGTTAGAGGAGTTGAGGATCAGAACAGAAATCATGCAACATGACAATCTCTAGCTCTACCCACTACTGCTACCATCCCATCATCTTACAGGGATAACTAAGCTGGGGGTGGAGACAGGAGGAATAAAGAAAGCACAGATATGTTACCAGAGAGCAATGGAAAAGATGCTTAGTCTGCTTTCAAGAGCATATAGAAAGGACCTGAACCTTCTCTATTATCACAGAGAAAACATGTGAGCTCATGGTATAATAAGAAAATTTCAAGGCTATTTGCAGATTTTTCCCAACATCACACCACTGAAGTACAATCAATTTCAAAACAAATCACCACCTGTTCCTGGTAAAACTGTTAGACATTATCATTGTTACTAAATATGAAAGAAAAGCATAATTACTAAAGCAAAGACAAATACTAACAGCAAAATAATCTCTGCAACTTTATGATTCTTACCTGTTCACTCTCCTAGGACACTTGTCTGGTTTAATATCTACCTCATAGAGGTAGACATCAATCTTTGGGATTTCAACTTGAAAACAGTTTGCCAGCAATTTAATGGGTTTGCCCATGGTGCCATAGCCAGGTCTTCTGGGCACCATGAGTAGGGGCTGGGCCCCAACGGGTCCTGCCAGGGAGAGGGGGAAAAAAAAGAGTAATGTTGTTATAAGCTGCATTTGATAATGTTGTCAATCAGAGTATATTAGAATTTTAAGAACAGCTAAGAATGGTTGAAGCCTAGTGCTGGAAGGTGACATCATTTCTAACACCTCAACATTTTTTTCTCCCCAAATTACTCTCCTCATTTAAATCGATATACAAACAAACAAAAAATTGGGTATCTCTGGAAAGTTGTTTCAGAAGGGGTAGAAAGAAGAGAGAGCAATCACATAAACCCAGGTGAGCATGAGTAAGCACAAACCAGTCCCAAAGAGTGCAAGACCAACAACAATGCAAATTTAATTTTTTAAAAGATTTATTTATTTTAGAGAGGAAGTGTGTGTGCAGGGAGCGGGACGTTCGGAGAGGAAGCTAGAATCTCAAGCCAACTCCAAGCTGAGTGCAGAGTCCCAAAGCAGGGCTGATCCCACAACCCTGAGATCACTACCTGGGAGGAAACCAAGATTTGGCACTTAGGGACTTGTGGGTGGCTCAGTCGGTCAAGTCTGTAACTCTTGACTTCAGCTCAGGTCACAATCTCAGAGCTGTGAGAATGAGCCCCAAGTCGGACTCTGCATTAAGCATGGAGTCTGCATATCCTTTTCCCTCTGCTCCTCCCTCCCTTGCACACTCTCTAATAAATAAATAACATCTTAGAAAAAAAAAAGTTTGAAACTTAACTGAATGCCCACCCAGGTGACCCAACAACATAAATTTAAACTACAATACAATAAGGATAAGAACTGAACAAAATACAATAAATATGACATAATAAAAGGATCAATACAGTCAGAAAGACCAACAAAGTGCAAATTTGATATTCTGAAAATTATTTGAAAAGATAAAATTGATAAACTCAGGCAACACTGATTTTTATAAGAGGAAGATGGGTGCCTGGGTGGCTCAGTCAGTTAAACCTCTGACTCTTGATTTCAGCTCAGGTCATGAGCTCAGGGTGGTAGGGATCCTGCTCTGTAGGACTCCATACTCAGCAGGGAGTCTGCTTGAGATTTTCTTCCTCTCCCTACCACCCCCCCCCCGCCGCCAACGTGAGTGCATGCTCTCCCTCTCTCAAATAAATAGATCTTTAAAAAAAAAAAAAAAGAGGAGAAAAATAATTAATGTAATTATAGTGAAAAATATGCTATACTACAGATACTGAAGGCATAACATTTTGTCAATAAATTTGGTGAAATAGACAAATTACTAGAGAAATACAGGTTACTGACACAGAAAAGTATGTAAAATATAAAATGTCCTCTGTTGGTAGAAATATAAAATGGAAAACAATATTGTAGTTCCTCAAAACATTAAAAATAGAATTACTATGAGATTCAGCAATTCTACTGCAGGGTACACACCCAAAAGAATCTGAAGCAGAGTGCTGAGATGATAACTGCACACGATTGCTCATAGCACCATCATTCACAACAGCCAAAAGATGGAAGCAACCTAAGTATCCACTGACAGGTGAATGGATAAACAAAATGTGTTACATATATAAAATGGAGCATTAGCCTTAAAAAGAGAAGGAAATTCTGACACATTCTACAACATACATGAAACCTGCAGATGTTATGTTACGTCACAAAAGGACATTGTATGATATTACTTATTAATACCTACAGTAGTCAAAGAGAGAAAAAGTACAAGGATGGTTGCCAGAGGCTGGGGAAAAGGGAGAAAGGGGAATTAGTGCAGAGTGGGTAGAGTTGCAATTCTGCAAGATGAAAAGAGTTCTGGAGATTGGTCCCACACAGTGTGAATATACTTAAATACCATTGAAATGTACACTAAAAAATTGTTAAGATGGTAAATTTAATGCTATGTATACTTTATCACAGTTAAAAAAAAAAGTGACATCCAGCATTAAGATTTAAAGCTCAAAATGTAGGGCGCCTGGGTAGCTCAGTGGGTTAAGCCTCTGTCTTCAGCTCAGGTCATGATCTCAAGGTCCTGGGATTGAGCCCTGCATTGGGGCTCCCCACTCAGCGGGGAGCCTGCTAGTGGGGAGCCTGCTCCACTCCCTCCACACCCCTGCCCCCCACCTGCCTCTCTAGCTACTTGTGATCTGTCAAATAAATAAATAAAATCTTTAAAAAAAAAAAAAAAGCTCAAGATGTTGTAGCTTTGTTAGATGAAGTTCAAACAATAAATTCAGTTAGTAACTATTACCTGAATGAAACATTTAAAATATCTGAAAACTCCTGTAACTAGCTGAAAAAAATGAAATCCACATTTGGAAATATTTCCCAGGATCACCTGGCTGGCTCAGTCAGTAGAACGTGTGACTCTCGATCTTGGGGTTGTGAGTTTGAGCTTCATGTTTAGTACTTAAAAATAAAATTAAAAAAATTTTTTTTCCATATATAAAGATTCTAGATCCAGATGGTTCCATTGGAGAATTATAGCAAATATTAAAGGAAAAAAATACCAAGCACCTGGGTGGCTCAGTCAGTTAAGAATCTGCCTTCAGCTCAGGTCATGATCCCAGGGTCCTGGAATTGAGCCCCACATCGGGCTCCTGATCAGCAGGGAGTGTGTTTCTCCCTCTACCACTCCCCACCGTTTGTGTTCTCTCTGCTCTGTCTTATTCTCTCAAATAAATAAAATCTTAAAAAATAATAATAATAAAAAATACTATTCTTATACAAACTCTTCCACAGAATAGGAAAAAAGTAATAGGAAAAAAAGTAATCATAATAGGAAATAGGAAAAAAGTAATCATAACCCCAATTCAACACATGATGTCAGAAAAACTCTGATACTAAAACCGGACAAAAACTTTATGAAAAAGGAAAATAAAATCATAGGCTAATACCATTCATGAATATACCTGCAAAAATCCTAAACAAGGGTTGCCTGGGTGGCTCAGTGGGTTAAAGCCTCTGCCTTCGGCTCGGGTCATGGTCTCAGGGTCCTGGGATGGAGCCCCGCATTGGGCTCTCTGCTCAGCAGGGAGCCTGCTTCCCCCTCTCTCTCTACCTGCCTCTCTTCCTACTTGTGATCTCTCTGTGTCAAATAAATAAAATCTTTTAAAAAAATTTTAAAAAACCTCATCAATAAAAGCACTTAAGAATAGAAGATCTGAACAGATACTTCACCTAAGAATAGAAGATCTGAACAGATACTTCACCAAAGATATACCGATAATAAATAAGAATATAAAAAGATGCTCAACATCATATGTCATTAGGAAATTGCAAATTTAAAAAAAGAGAGCTACCACTACACATCCATACACATGGCCAAAATCCAAAACACTAACACCAAATACTGACAAGAATGTGAAGAATTCTCATTCACTGCTGGTGGGATTGCAAAGTGGTACAGCCACTTGGGAAGACAGTTTAGCAGTTTCTTGTAAAACTAAACATACTCTTATCATTCTATTCAGAAATCATGCTCCTTGATATTTACCCAATTAGCTGAAAACTTATATCCACAAAAAACCTGCACATGAATGTTTATAGTGGCTTTAGCCATAAGGCCAAAACTTGTCCTTCAAGGTGAATGGGTTAACTGTGGTACATCCAGACAGCAGGATGTTACTCATCTTGAAAAAGAAATGTATTGTTGGGGCGCCTGGGTGGCTCAGTGGGTTAAGGCCTCTGCCTTCGGCTCGGGTCATGATCCCAGGGTCCTGGGATCGAGCCCCGCATCGGGCTCTCTGCTCAGCAGGGAGCCTGCTTCCCCCTCTCTGCCTGTCTCTCTGCCTACCTGTGATCTCTCTGTCAAATAAATAAAATCTTAAAAAAAAAAAAAAAAAGAAATGTATTGTTAAGCATAAAAATACATGGAGAAACCTTAAATCCATACTACTAAGTGAAAAAAGCCAATCTAAAAAGGCTATGTACTGTCCGATCCAATTATATGACATTTTGGAAAAGGTAAAATTATGAAAACAGTAAGTTCAATGGTTTCCAAGGGCTTCCACAGGGTGGAAGGAAGATTCCAGGGCTTTATGGGGTAGAAGGAAGGAACAGGTGGAGCATAGTGGATTTTAATTCTACTCTGTACGATACTGTACTGATGGATACGTGTCATCATACTTTTGTCAAAACCCACTGAACACATAACACAAAGAGTAAACCCTAATGCAGAGTACAGACTTTAGAGAAGAATAATGTATCAATACTGGATTCCTAATTGTAATAAATGTAACAAATTAAAGCAATAATGGGGGAACTGGTTGGAACAGGAGTAAGGGGGGTATATGGGAATGCCTATTATTTTCCAATTTTGCTATGAACTCAAAGTACTAAAAAAAACTATTAATTTTTAAAAATGCATGTGCACTTTGACCTAGTAATTCCATTTCTTGGTTTTTTAAAAAGATTTTATTTATTTATCTAACGGGAAAAGAGAGAGAGAGAGACAGTGAGAGAGGAACACAAGCAGGGGGAGTAGGAGAGGGAGAAGCAGGCCTCCCACCAAGCAGGGAGCCCAATGCAGGGCTTGATCCTAGGACCCTGGGATCATGAACTGAGCCGAAGGCAGACACTTAACCGACTGAGCCACCCAGGTACCCCCCATTTCTAAGTATTTATTTACACATTTACTTCCACATGCAAAAAATGACATTTGTACAAAGATATCCTTGTCTGTAGCATTGCTTGGAAAACAAAAAACAATGAAATGTAAGCCCAATGAGCACGGGAGTTTTGTCTGTTTCCTTCACTGATCTATAATGCCCAGAACCATTCCTAGCATACAGTAAAAAATAAATGTGTTAAATAAATGAGATGAATACATCAGAGCCCAACTAATGTTATAACTATTCAATGGAATAATATGTAACCACTAACATTAAAAAGAATAGAAAAGAAAAAGAATAGAGAAGCTCCTTAGTATCAATAGGTTATATGAAAAAAATAATGCAGGATAGGAAAGGGTATAAAATACATGTTCATTTGCAAGAAAAAACAGAATATACATTCATATTATACACATACATATATAACATAC